CATCCCGGAACTGGACAAACTTTATACCAAAATGTTCTTCATCATCTCACGAGTCCGTACATATAAAGAACTCGAAAATCGGAGTTCGTTTGACCCCTCAAATCATCCCTAGAAGGTCTCATAATCTCAAGCCCTAACTCCACCTTTTTCTACTGATTTTCATGAATTAAACACTGATATTTTGTTCCTTAATCACAAATAATCGAGTTTTAGGGTCCAAAATCCTAACCTCAATGAAGAACAATGATTTCCTCTCTTCAAAATCGCCCAAAGCTCCAAAATTCAAGTTAAAAAGTGAAGAAACCCTCTGAAAATCGCGAAGGAGGAATTATTATAATCTGACAAGACATTTCCGCACCTGCGATCCCATAAGCGCACCTGCGCTTCCGCTTCCTCGGAAAAATACCCGCTTTTGCGAATTTCATTACTCCTTCAGATTTCGCATCTGCGACCCAAGTACCGCACCTGCGGTCCCGCAGATGCGGTCAAAGTCTTCGCTTCTGCGGCCAGCACCGCTTTTGCGGTCTCCTTTACGCACCTGCGGTCACCAATCCGCAGGTGCGGAAACAACAGAGGCAGCAAATTTTCTGCTGCAAAACTCCAAGTCCAACTTCCCGATAACTATCCGAAACCATCCCGAGGCCCCCGAGACCTCAACCAAAAGCACAAACAATTCCCGTAACCTTATTCGAACTAGTACCGATCTTCAAAACACCTCAAACAACATAAAAATCACCAAAACTCATCGAATTCAAGCCTAAGGTTCTAAATTCTTCCGCATTCCACTTTTGATCAAAAACCCAACCAAATCACGTCCAAATGACCTGAAATTTTGCACGCACATCCCAAATGACATAACGAAGCAACTTCCGGAATTTCATTCCGACCCCTATATCAAAATCTCACATATCAACCGGAAAACGCCAAAAACTCACTTTCGCCAATTCAAGCCTAATTCTACACCGGACATCACAAAAATATTCCGGACACACTTCTAAGTCCCAAATCACCTACCGAAGCTATCCGAGCCATAAAATCCGCATTCTGAGGTCGTTTTACCAATAAGTCAAAACTTGGTCAAACCTTTCAATTTCAAGCTTCAAACTGAGAACTGTTCTTTCAAATTCATTCCGATTATCCTGAAAATCAAAACCAACGATTTACAGAAGTCATAATACATTATACGGGGCAAGTCATGCCCGTGAACTGGCGAGCAAAGTGCAAAAGTTTAAAACGACCGGTCGGGTCGTTACAATAACATAATAGTTTTCTAACAACGTGACATATAATCCATAACGAAATATTCATATTTCATAAATCCGTAGCAATTATACCATAAATAATATTACTCTAACTTAATTGCCAGGTGAAAACAAGAGCAAAAAAATTAAAAATAAGGTTAACTATCTTTAAAAAAAGAAAAGGGATGATAAAGAAACAAGGAGTTGGGAAGATAAATAATAACACTTGTACACTTGAAAACAGCCAATAATATGCAGCTAATTGGAGATTAAAGTAATTAGAATTGGAGTTAAAATCAAATTAGGAGGGAAAAAAAAGGCAAAACCTATTCTTTTTTATGATGTTGGAGTTGGCAAAAAAAAAAAGGGGAAACAAAGTGAGTTATAGGTTAGAGATTTGGAGTTAAAACGAAAAAAAGAAGGTAAAGGTTAACATAGAAGTGCGGTGTAATAAGTAAGGGCATAATTGGAAAGAAAAATAGGAAACAATTTTAGCTAGTCAATCAAAACAAATATTATTTTGGGATAACAATACAATATGATATAATAGGTAACAACCATCCAAACAAGTTGTAAAGTTATGAGTAGAGTTATGCTCGATTTCGATTCATACTGAAAAATTGGTGAATAGTTGATAGCAGATGGGATCAGCGCTAGCGAGCTAGCGCAACAACTTAGTGTTTTGTTTTCTTTGCTGCTTTTTTTTACAAAAGGTCCGCAGGAAAGCGGTTGCTAAGGCTTGTAGCTTGTAGCTTGCTTCTGTCCTTAGTCAATTTTGAACTGAAGCTGTTCTGACTGCCGTATCCTTTTTGAACCGAATAACTTTCTCTGTCATCTCTGGTATGTCTCTTTTTGAGAGAAGATTTTTAGTACTTTATATGATGGGTGTTCAATCAATATTTTTGTATATTAGTACTAATTTCCAACATAAAAATATACAGCTTCGGTAAACACAATAGGCAGGGACGTATGTACTATGTAGCATTAAGGTGACTGTTCAATTGGACCCATAATTTTCGATGCGGAACATAACTTTATATGTAATAGTTTACTAAAATTGTAACAGATAGTAGATATGAACTCATAACTTTAAAAATATAACGGGTTCAATAATAAAAATTATAAAGGTTGAACTCAAAGAGTTTAAATCTTGGATCCGCCTTTGACAATAAGTGCTTGACCACCCATAAGCTTCATTGTAGATCCGCCACTGAAAGTGGTCTAACGCGCATCTCTATTATCTTTTTACTAGTAGTTCCAATTTTTAGCTGCTAAATCTCTGACTATTTTACTAGCACGTGCTTCCTCTCATCAATACAATTTTGTTCGTCACGATTTAGACGTATAAAATTTTTTGTCTCTGTTATGTCTACTAAAAATTTAGACACTGTCTTGCATAATTTTGACTCACCGTATTGACCGTCATCCAATTAAGTGCTTTGCAAGAGTTATAGAAGAAATAGAGTCCTTCGTTGTATATTCTGTAAGAACAAGTTTATTTGGGATATTCCAGAAATCTTAAGCACTTTCTTTTTTGGAAAATATTGTGAAGTATTCTCTTGAATTTTTTCCCCAAAATATGCTTGCTCTCTTTTGTCATCTTAGCAAATTTATTTTTCTCTGTCCGTGGAGATAGGTTTGATTAATCAAACATATTATTCAATTACTTTCTTTTTTTTAAAAAAAAACCTTGTTTGTCAAATTTCGCACTATCAAATTTCTGATCATAGTGAGTTAATGAGATTTCCCTTAAGAGAGTCTCAATTGCATTATTTCTAGTACCAAAGTCTACTTTGGTAACTTGTTTAGTTGTTTACTATCTTTCTTCAGCCATGTCTCAAGAGATAGTATTCCATATTAGATTTATTCCCCTATGCCCTAAATAAAAGATAAGATATTTGAGATCTAGCTTTAATAATGTACATTCCATATTAGATTGTTCCCCTAAATAAAAGAAATGACGTAGATATTACGTTATAAGTGACAAAAAGAAAAAGAAAAACATTTTATTTACTAGTGAATGCTCCAGCTGCTCATCAAAGTCACCAAGTAATTGCATCAAAGTGAACTTTTGAGCTTCTTCACTAAAATGCTAATAGAATACTAGCAATGCTCCATATTACTACTTGTCGTAACAAACTGCATTCATTCCAAAATATTTGTCAATAAATGGTAATTTAAACAAACCTCTGATGATTAAGACAAGGAAATGCCTTTCTTAAGAGGTGTTTAAAAATACCAAAAATAATATGGGCCGAATAGTCAGTAGCCTCATGCTATGAAGGCTTTGACTGAAATGAAAGATCACAAGGAAATGTCATTTGATTCATAAAAGGAAGCAATCTAATATCTGCACCAGCTTGCATGCTTACAAATTATTAACAAGTTATATCAACTAACCAAGAATACTTCCCAACAGTTTTACCTGTGTCTAAAAGGAAAGAATGCAAATGCCTCAATGTGAAGTCCACTCATTTCTTCAAAATGCAAAATCACAACCACAAGTACTTCTGTCATAAGCAGAAATCAAGAAAATTACACAAGTCTATTTTGTGAACCTAATGGACACTTAGATGACACCAGAACTTGAACTTCTAAGTCCAAGGATACAGCACTTCAACCCTTAAGCGACAATGCTTAACCCACTTTATAAACACTACTAATATTATTCTGAATAGTTATCAAGTCAATTATTACATTTTTTCTTTTTGTGTATATATAGAATTCCATGCAATTGACGGAAATTCTTCTGCTATAATTCTGACTGCACCAGGAAACAGGGCAGATGCAATCCCAATCAGAAACAACAATGAATTCCGACAATCTTCAATGATCAACTGTCCTGATGCAAAGAGATTTTAAGGTATGGATCGTCCTTGTACTTCAAGTATTGAGGAAGTTCGAGAGCTCTTTCTGCAATCTTCCTGTCCTCGTGAATCTTAGCTATCAAGGCTTCAAGTGATGAAAAGTTGGCCTGTAATATTGCAAATAGTTGGTAATATGAGCAAGTGCTTTCAGAAAGAAAAAAAGAAAAATAAGAGTAACTAGGCCACAATACCTCTGGCCGTATATAGCCCACAACAACTAGGTGCAATTCCTCACCATAAAAGTCTTCATTGAAGTCATTAAGCAACCATGGCTCCTAAAAAGTAAAGTTGTCTTCAGCAAACCAAAAAAAATCAAGAATAAGCAAGAAGCATATGTCACGACACACTTACTATAGCTTTCTCTGTGTTATTAAAATATGGATTCCAACCAATGCTCATGACCATCTTGTAAACACCACGAGCTGATAATCCTGCCCATCCAAAATATACACCCGCAGGATGTTCTGAAAGAATGGCTGAATAACCTTCTGGGGATAAATTAGCTGAAAAAATATTTGATACCATAAGAATAGAAAAAAACATCAAACTGTTAGGCCATACAAGGCAAGAAAATAATCTTTCAAGCCCCTCTAACAATTGTAGATGTTCGAATGCAAATAACACATTAACATAAAATCAGAATCTCTGATATGATAGGTTCACAAGAAACTAAAATTCCAATAACAAACTTATGAGAAATTCTAACAGCCACTTCAAGCGAATACAGATACTGAGTCAAGCATTTATATTAGCCATTCAGCAGAAGGAATAATGACGAGTATACCTGTGGGGATCCCAAGAACCTTTGAGCCACGCCCAAATCCCTTTATGACAGGACCACCTATATACCAAGGTTCTAAGGGCAAAGTACCTTCTATTCCTGCATATGCTTCCAGTCAACAATTGAAAGAGAAATCAAGTACACTCCATACAAGTAAAGCAGTCATAAAGACTTACTATCTTGAAATGCAGGTAATCCCCACTTTTCTAGTTGCAAATCTAGAAGAGAAGTGATCACTTCATCAGCGGAAGTATAAAGATGAGACTGCTTTGCAAGAGATGGTACAGCAACAACTGCCATTCCAGCAGCCTTACCAGCAGTAACACCTGGTCTAACATAGGTATCTGGTCGAGTTAACTTTCACCAAGTTATGAGATAAACAATCTACATCCAATTCAAAACTAATATGGACTTCAGAGAGTAAAGGGCCACATTTCAGCCTAGAAAATGCAAAAGTGATGACAAGGAATTTTAAAACCTCATTATCCATGAAATAAAAATTAAATCTAATAACTATAGAAATTATAAATTATGATGTCAGAAGTTAGTAGCTAACGTTATTCAGTCCTATGCTTATATCCATCTTAACATGTGCAAATTTGAGCTGAGTATGATAAACTCAAACAAACCCCTCAATGTCTTCTAAGGAGAAAAACCACCCCTCTGATACCCTTCTTTTTCTTCCTTCTTTTGACCAGTAGTTAGATTTTCTAACGTGCTCCTATGCTTCTGATAGGATATATAGCGACATAATCTTTGAAGATAAAAACTCACATTGAATCTTCAATGACAAGAAAGCTGGATGGATCCATGTTGAGTCTTTTAGCTGCTTCAAGAAATCTTCCAGAAGAAGATATACAAGAGTTAATTCCACATCCATAATACCAGATTATGAAATGATGAGGACAAAGATAAACAATTCATCCCGTTTTACATTTCCGGAGATGGCTTTCCAGCTTTCACTTCGTCTCCTCCAACAATGGCTGAGAATGATTCTTTCCATCCTGAAAATAATAAAGAATATCCCAATCAAAGCACCAAGCATAAATTCTATCTTACATGCTGGACTGGCACAAAATACCTTCACAAGGAAAGAAATACCTCTCTAACTAGATTTTAAAACCCTACCCTGATGATGAAAAATTTTGATCTCTATGTTAGACCGAGAAGAATTTGAAGCCAATGCCATGGGTACACCATGACCCCTCAAATGGTTAATCAACCGATTGGCCCCTGGAAGAGCTTTGATATTGCGCCACCTATATCAAAATGATTAACAAAGTTCTATAAGAACTTTGGACTGGAAAGTATCTGCAGAATACAAAAGATATACAAGTTCCAGAACTATATAGCAGAAGCTCTCGCAAGCAATCAGAGAATGAAAATCAAAGTTTTACTAGCTCAAAGAAAAGAATTCTAAAGGTAGCACCAATCCAACATTGCTTTCACTCTCAGCAAGAGCCAAGAAAACCATGTTCCTCAAACTAACAAGACCATACAAGAGTTGATCACCCTTATTCCTCCTACCCCCCCCCCCCCCAAAACCCCCCAAACAAAAGAACAAAAGAAAAGGGAAAAACTTCACTCCATTTAAATTAAAAACCAACAAGTTTAATATTACAATATACAAGAAACACATATGATCGACGAACAAACAAAACATAGTCATTTCTTTTTCTTTTTTAAATAGTTAATGTAGCTTCATTCTTTCATTCCTCTTTTTTTTCCTTTATTTCTTTTGGTGATCTTCTTTGCTAATCAATAAATAAATATATATATCACCAAAAGCAAAAAAGATAAAAGAAAGAAACATGTATATTTGCATTTTCTAAATTAGAGATCAAAGCTTGGTTCCCCAATAGCAATTCTCCGCAATTTAATTACCACTTGTACCTACTTAATTTTCAATAAGGGGTTTGAACAAAACGAACACCCCAAAACTCTGTTCTCTAGTTCTCTCTTCTCTACTAACTACTCAGTACTCCCTCCGTTCACTTTTACTTGGCATGTATACTAAAAATAGATTTTCATTTTTACTTGTCACTTTACACATATCAAGAGAAGACAAAAAAAAATTCCTGTTATACCCACAATATTTATTACTCATTTCAAACCATTTTCTCAAATCCAATAAAATATGCATCAATTAATATGGGTATCATGATAAATTATGCACTTCATTTATTATTTCTTAAGGGGCGTGAAAAGTCAAAACGTGCCAAGTAAAATTGAACGGAGGGAGTAATTTGCAATCTATCATCCATGCTCCAACTATAAAACAGCATACTGTTTTACTTTGTAACATTATCCTTAACATCCATTAATAGGATTTAAGGAAAACAGTCTGCCATACTTTTTAGATGCTCCTAGTTGTATTCCGAACAAAAAGGGGTCAATTCTAGTTACTCCTCCTTCTCTCTAACTATCTCTCTCTATAAGAATTATGTCTAAAGTAGATCTGGTCGGACAACATCACAATGACCTGCCGCCGGCCCCAATATCTGACCCTACAACCTATGTAGCTACTGATATTTCGACCTCATTGCCACCTACGAGCACCACCGAAAAGGACACATTAAAAGATAGCCACCAAACAAACACCGCAAATTCTGATAACCCAAATCATAGTACCAACAACTCAAACAAAAACCAAACCAACACTGCTATCTCACACACCATTTCACCAAAACCAAAAATTTCAGCCAACTTTGATAAACCAGGGAGGAGGAATAAGGAGCAGTCTGCAGCAAACATACAAGAAAAAGGAAACACAGAAGAAGTCACTAATCCACCTCCAATACCAACTACAAAAGGGACAGTTATTGATGACAAAACTACTCAGATTGGGGCTAATAGGTGGACTCAAGGAGCATCTAACCCATCTTTTGCTGCAGCTGTCCAAGCAGAGCTACCATCTATGACTGAATGTGTCGAGTCAGTAGAGATAAGATATGGTACCCATCTAGGTAAGCCGGCAGTGTTTTTCAGTGCTGAAGATTACTTCGTGAACCTAGCAAAAGAATGTAGACTCACCCTAATTGGAAAATTTTATAAGGGAAAGCCTCCAATGGAGGATATTAGGAAGGCTTTTATTAGACAATATCATCTGAAAGGGTCGGTAAAGATTGCTTATTTTGATTTTCAGCATGTCTATATTGATTTTTCTAATGAAGTTGATTATGGTCACATTCAAAGCAAGAAGTTTGAGGACATTGATGGGACCCCTATGAAGATTATGTTGTGGACACCTGACTTTAAACCTGAAGTAGAGACCAATTGTGCCGATATGGATTCTTATTCATCAGTTGCCTTGACACTTGTTCAAATGGGGAATTCTGTCTAGAATGGTTCAATCTGTGGGGGTTGCCATTGCTCCTGATCAAGCCACATATTCAAAATCCAGAGGTAATGTTGAAAAAATAAAAGTGGAGATTGATTTGCTTAAGGCTTAAGCCAAAATTAGATCAGATATGGCTAGGTTTCAACAGGATGGACGGAGGTGAGGATGGAGTATGGCTTGATATAGAGTAATAGGGTGTGCCTTCTTATTGTCTATATTGCAAAATGCAAGGTCATGTGGAAAGTCAATGTCGAAATAAAATCAGGGATGAGAGGACAAAACAAAACAGGGAGGAAAGACTCAAAATGGACAAAATTAATCAACATGATATTCCCTCAACCAGTGAATAGGTCCAAAATAAAGAGGAGGAATTCAAGACTGTGACACGAAAAAAGAGCTACAACAAATAAGATCGTGCCAAAACTGAGCCGACAAGCAGGAGCAGATCAGATGAATGGTCAAATAAAGGAAAGGAGTGTACAGAACAACAAAAAAAGTAGTGGCATTGTCATCAGAGAACCTACTATGATGACACAAAAAGAAGTGATGAAAGAAATACTGGGGAAAGGGAAGGCAATTGAAAGAGGAAACACAAAAGCAATGCATGATGAATTAGTGGATCTTGGTAAACATGATAAAAATAGAATGATAAAAAAAAGAAGCAGAAGAAGAAAAAGAGAAACATGGGTAAAAGTCACAAAAACAACAACAAAGTGAGTGAAGAAGGCAATCAACAACAACAGGTGGAACAACAAAAAGAATCACAAACAAATGGCAATGGGGTACTTGTGAGCGCAAGGAGACAACTGGGAAAGGATATCAAAGTAATAAGAGGCAGCAGGTGGAAGCTTTACAATCAAGCCCGAATGTTATGCATCAACTAGAAAAAGAACAAAAGGGAAACAAAGCAGCAACCACATCATTGACCCAGGAGAGGTACAAAAGGAATTGAAGAAGCTAATATATGGTACTAATCTTGAAAAGGATATGAACCAGGATCAAGAACAGTCATCTGATGGTGCATCAGACTCCACGGATGAGGAGAATGAAAATTCTGAAGATAATGACTACGAAGATGAAGATAGTTCAGAAGAAAATGAAGAGTATGCAAGCGTTGATAGTGAGGAGGAGAATAGTGATACTATTGCTGACAAGTTGGTGGAAGTCATTGTTGGACAAGAACCAATCCTAACAGCTATGTCTAATATTATCAACTCAGGTCATCTGTCGCCGAGGGGAAGATCTAATATAGGGGGAGGGGGTTGGGGGAGTAGAGCACCACCAAGAGGAAGAGGGGGAAGATTTTTCTCACAAAGGCCTGAAAAGGCTACAAAGAACAAAATCCTCTCTGATAAGTGATTATGTTTAAGTCTCTATTTTGGAATATCAGGAGCATCAAAACCAATGGTGCTCTTGAGAGACTCTGACAAATGATTAGATCAAACAAGCTTCCTTTTATTGCTTTAGCTGAACCTTTCTATAAAGCTAATAAATTGGACAAATACAGAAGATCTTTGGGATACCACAATGCTTATGCAAATAGCAACAACCAAATCTGGTTATTTTGGGAAGAAGATCTTGATTGTGTGGTTATAGACGAAGATGAGCAGCAGATAACATGCATCATTAAACAAAATGGGATCACTTTATTAATTTCATCTGTTTATGCTAAATGTGAGGAGGACCTTAGAGAAGAATTATGGGATAAGCTTAGAAACTTATGTGATAATTTAAATTGCCCTGGTTTATTGCAGGAGATTTTAATTGTATCACTGACCCCGCTGAGAAGAAGGGAGGCACACCCCACAGAATGTCCAAGAGCCTCTCTTTTATTCAATGTATACGGATTGTGAATTGGTGGATGCAGGTTACTCTGGATCAAATTTTACCTGGTGTAATGGCTGGTGTCCTAAAAGAAGAATTTGGCCAAATATAGATAGGGTTCTAGTTAATAATGATTGCTTAAATCTTTTTGATGTTACAACAGTCACCCACCTAGTGAGAACAGGATCTGATCACTCACCTCTATTGACTCATGTCCGATCAAAACAGTCTGAACCTATTAAATATTTTAAGTTTCTGAATTTTTGGACTAAGGAAACTGGATTTATGGATGTGGTGAAGTAGGCTTGGAGAGAAGAGGTTCATGGATCTCCTTTGTGGAAGTTCCATTTGAAGTTGAAAAACACTTGCAAACCATTATCAGCTTGGTCAAAGAACACAGTTGGTAACATTTTGATAATGTTAAGGTATTGGAAGGAAGAGTTGCAGAACTTGAAGAACTGTCCATTTTAGATAACTCGGCTACTAACAGGGCCAAGCTGAACCAAGTGAATGCAGAGCTAATTAGAGCTATTAAAAATGAGGAGGAATATTGGAGACAAAAATCAGGAATTAAATGGTTTGTTGAAGGTGAAACCAATTCGAGATTCTTCCACTCTGGTTAATGGGAAGAGGAGGAGATTAACTTTAAAGAAATAAAGAAATAGGATGGCAATTGGATTGAAGGAGATGACGACATTGCTCATTGTTTCTTGTTACTTTGATTAACGACAAATTGAAACCACCTTGGGAAATAGGGGTAATTTTGGAGCAGATTCAAGAGATATCACATGATGAATGCTTTACTTTTGTTCACATATACAGAGAAGTTAATATGGTGGCTGACCTGTTGGCAGATTTGGGAGAGAGCTTGAAGGATCAGGTGGTTTTCAACAGTCTGACAAACTGTCCACACCATGTTAGAGCTGCTGTATTGTTGGATAAAGAAGGCATACCAAATTTTAGATTCAAGCCAAAAAGGAATCAGTTTGTTGTTAATGATGTTTCCAATGGATAAAACAAACCTTTGTATATTCCTGGCATCAGTAGGATATCATCTTTTTGTGGAATATTTTGTAGTCAAAATATAATGGAGAGGATCTCCCAAACTAGGCATATTAGATTTGAGCAACAGACCTTAACGATGATGCATATCATTCTTCATTATGTACTGGGGGCTAAAGGGTACATCCTCCTCCATTTTTTACTGCTTTTCGATTATATACGGGTAGGGGTTTATGCCTAAAACCCCCCATCGCCATAATGGATGCTTTGAATTTTAAAAAAAAAAAAGGAAAAGAGTCTGCCTATTAATATTTTAGTGTGAATAATCCTCCAATTGTCTATTCAATTTCAGTTTGTGGCAATCGATAAATAGAAAGGAAATGAAACTATTTTTTCTTACTGGTCAGAGAGCATTGGGTAAAATTGTGAAAGAAATTCATCTGTTGATAATGGGAGCCCATAATCTTCGACAACTGCAGCTGCAGCTTCTGTAGGGGTTTTCCCGACTATTTTAGGAGCTTCTCTCCCATCCCATTGCTTTCCATACTTAACTAAGAAAGCCTTTAAAATCTCACTCACAACACCATCTGTCAACACAAAGAGGTCAAATTAAAACTGGAAAACCGGAGGCTAATAAGAAACGCAAATGCACACAGGGAAGACATTTGCAATATAAAGTTTGAAACTATGCAGCAGTTAACTCTACAACAGCAAGGTATTTCTGTCGCACAAGAGGGACTTCACAATTATATATCATCATCTTTGAGAGCCAGAGTGCATCTCAAATTCTGCATAGAAGTTCCAAATAGCTGCTGGCACACTAAGCATAAAGGGATCTCATATTAAGCATATTCTCAAACAAGATAATTTGATAAAAGAACTTCAAAACAATAACAAACTTTTACTACACTCTACAGTTAGAGTAAAGATTACAACAGTCAAAAGATAGTGAAATAGTGAATATTTTTTTCCAAAATTTCAAAGTTTCCGCTCATTTCATATAGCTATTGGACAATGTAAAAATTGGAAGGAAATGAAAGGAACTCTGGCTTATGATTTAGAATGAGTAGAAGTTCATAGTTATCAAGAACAAGTACCATGAATGATCTAGGAGAATGGCCAAGAATATAATTTTAGAAGTGTAAAGTCAATATTCTCAAAAAAAAATACGATTCTAAAAAAAAGTGTAAAGTCAAACAAGACTAGCACTACCAACCTGTATTAAGAAGTGTACCATCCAAATCAAGGATGACACCAGAAACCAGCTTCTTCAAAGTTCTTTCAACAGACATGGAGAGCAATATCTACCACGCAGAAACAGAAACATATGTTCACATTATGTGAATATGAGATATACTGGCACGCTAATAAAGCTAAATATATGAAGTCAAATGTAGACATAAATCAATTTACAAACATCAGTGTATCATGATTGCATCAAAAGTAACACTACTATTACTTGGAATTCATTTTAAGCTTCCTTGTCACCATCAAAACTATATAAGTGCATATGGGTACGAGGCATAGAAGTATTCAATAATAGGAGAACATATATACTAACTTTCCATTCCACATGCGTAAAGAATCATGTCAAAGTAATAAACATAGCTACATGTGTAGCCTATGAACTCATTCTGATACCATATTGCTCATCCCCAACTAGAGATGTCAAAGGGGCAGGTCGAATAAAATTTGGACTAGTTAAAACGGATTTAGTGAAACAAAGTTAAGATCCAATGCACCGAAAGTTTGCTCGGTCAATAGTGGTAGGTTAATTTGGACCAAATAAAAGGGCATAACCCAACCCAACCAACCGCAGAAGTCTTAGGTACACTAAGCTGAGATTCATAGAATTTCAATGTAACAACCTCCGGTTTGGCCCAACAGAGTTCAGCTTGCTAACAAAAATTACTCCTTAAAAGAGTTAAAATGGAAAGGAGCAAATAAACTATAAATCTAACATAAGGTTATCAACTTTTGCCAAGACATATTCACAAACAACTTGGCCTTCTGTATGACTAAGAATAGAGAAAATTGTATTCATAAGATTGAAGCTGCTCCCTCAAATTAAGAAACTCTTATTAATGAAAGTTCAGGTCATAGCTAATTTTGAGTATCACCGGAAACGAGTTGTGTCGTGTGTGATTAATCTACCAGGTAAGAAATTAAATCGAAAATTTTAAACATCAATAAAGTATCAAATTCACCTATCTATGCAACTGTAGTCAGCCTTCTTCTTTACCAAACAATCTACACAACAAAAGTTTCCAGCTTTTTTCAACAACCTCGAGCCATGCCAAGGAGCTTTTTTTTTTTTTAAAGTAATAATTTATTGATGTTGTGGAAAATTGTTCTGATACAAATATACAGTTCTGCACTCAATAGCTAGCAGAAACCGCATGGGTTCAACCAAAGTTCACTAAAAACAAAGATTTAACAATTGCCCTTATCTCAGCCACATCCCAATTAAAGCTCGTAATCTAAACTTGTGAAATTAGATCCTTGATGTGAAAAATAATTATAATTCCAGAAGACGAAAAGAAGGGGGAAGAGAGCAAGTATGAATTAAGAGAGAAGTTTCATAGAAACAAATCGTCAAATATTTGGTATAAGCATCGATAATTAGGAAAAGCAAAATTTTGATACCAACTTACTTTGCTAGGTTAATATTTTCAAAAGAAAGAAAAAACTTACTCAAGTAAAATCAAGATTTTACTCAAAGAAACTTACAATATCAGTTGAAGTAGAGCCTCAATCCAGTAGCCGCCGGCGATTTGGACTGCCGGTCGCCGGATTTGAGCTCGAGCAGAAGCGGAAAAGGGTTAATTGAAAAAAGGGTTTTGTTTATCAGCTAAAGGGTTTAGGCGTCAGTTTGGAGAGGAGAGGAGGCGTTGGTTTTGTTTTTTAGTTTGGAAAAGGATAAAAGTTAAGACTTCAGGTTAACTATTGTGTACAAGTATTAAAGAATTCAAAAAAATAAAATAAAAAACAACTTGACTAAAATAATTTATTTTTTTTTTTAAAAGAGCAGGAGGCAGGTTTCGAGTAACTGAAGTGCTTGAGCAAGCTACAAAACCAAGGCGTCTGCCTTGCTTTTGGTTACTGAGGGGGCCAGATAAATTATTTGAGGGGTCCCCAGTGTGTATATAAATATATATAAAATATATTTACAATTTCCCGAGGCTTACGGTTCCGGTAAGCCCCTAACCCTAAGGTAGGCCCGCCTCTGTCGATAAATGTAAAAGAGAGAGACGCAAATGAGGAGTAAAAGAAGAACCTGAGAATTGAGTCTAAGCTTAGACAAGGCCGTTTAGAAGAATTCAATGTAATTAAATTAACTTATAAATGAATGTCTTATTTGCCAATTAAGTTAAGTGATTTTTTATTTTTTTTTTGGTATTAGAGTGGCGCATGCCTTCCTATTTAGTGAAATTCAATGTCAGAGTGGTGCATGACAATAAGTGGAGTTTGGACACGTCACACGTTTACATTACAATATCAGACGTGTCAAATTTGACACCTTCAGTAAAATCCCAGCCATTCAAAAACTGCACATTTTAATTTGCACCCCAACAGTACATTTAAAAATAAGAAAACTATATTTTCCGAAAAGCATACGAAGAAATTGTATCACCATCAATGAAATGCGATAAGTAAAATTTCTACTCGCCGAATATTGCTATAATCCAAAGATAAAGCACTGGAGAAATAGAGACTGAGAAAACGAATTTTGTCTTCCTTTGGATTGATCGCCATCGTCGAAATTTGATGAGTCACTGGTCCTAGGTCTAATTTTGTCGTTGATATTTCATCTTGAGCACTTATTATCCTTTATCTTTGCTAAAATGGAGCACATATAGGACTAATTCCTATACAAGTTCCGAGCCGTCGGGGTTGAGTAGAGTTTCTCTTTCATGACTGCAAGATAGAAAGCATGTAGCTTCGCAAGTAATTAGGGATTAAGGGTGAACAGGGAGAAATGGTGTTTTAGGAAGACAACCTCTATTAGGCTCATGTTTTTACTGTCACGTGCACTGCACATGGGATGGGGCTGTGCCTTTTGTTGGGCACTGCACATGTGCTCCATTTTAGCAAAGATAAAAGGACTACATGTGCTCAAGGTAAAATATGAAGGACAAAATTAGATCTACTCATATACTTAAGGGACAATTTTGGTAATAAAAAAACTCCACAATAATTTACAAAATGTACGCACCAGAATTTGAAGTTCTTCTATATTTTTAATATAGTTTCAGAATCGATCTAAAGTTTATCTGTCTTTCCAATACAACTTCAGAAAAAGAAAAAGGGATCTTAAGTTATTCTATTTTTCTAATCTTGTTTCAGAAAATTTAGATTTTAAATAGTTCTGTCTCTTCAATGCAACTTCAAAAATGGATCTTACGTTCTTAACATAAACTTATCTTCGAATTCAAAAATTCAACACACGATTCAATTCTAAATCTACTACAAATGAGCTCAAATTTAAAACATAACTTTAAAGTTTCATAAAAAATAAATCTCTCATCAAATTGTCAAAGCAATAACAAATGTAACAAATAAATAAACCTCAATCTTCAAATTGTCAACGCAATAACAAATGTAGCAAACATATTTTGCAACTAAGAAGAAGAAGGACAAGAAACCTTAAGCACAACCTACAATTTTTACAACTAAGACGAAGAAGAAAGCACCAACAAAACTCCAACGAAGAAAAAGAGAAAAGTATATCAATTGGGTATTAAAATGACTACAAATTAAATGGGAGAGGCCAAATAGGCACCTCATGAAATTTTTGCTGTATATTCTCTCGAGGAAGTATTCTTCTTTATTTTATGCTTTTCAGAAAATCATGTGGAGTTGTAACTTGTAAGTACTAAGTCTTATTTTCCTTTTTCCTAAAAGAAAGTCTTTATCTTCCTTCTTTTTATGATGTTTTTCTCGTGATTGATCTCTCTTGTAATTAAAGGTGAATTTTAACCTATAGAGAACATGTATAGTAGCAAAAAAGGCTTGTTTAGATTAATATAATCTCTACATTTGTGGATATTATATTTAATTACTATTTTATTTAAACTTTATATTTTATTGAATTTTAAACGAAAATAAAGATACACATAACTTAATTCTATGTAGATTCAAATATCTTAAATCTTAATCTTAAAAAACAAAACAAACAAATAACTATAAGAGTAGTTTTACCGCTCTGCTCTGGCAAAAATGAGCAATGCCAAGGTAGAGTCCAGAGATTGGAAAAAAGAAAAAAATGAGAATATAGCTCTCATAATCATAGGAACGGAACTAAATAGCGTCTAATTTATCCAACCATTAACAATAGTCAAAAAAACGAGTTGCACCAGAAAAAATATATTATAGTCAATCTTAAGGTAGGGATTCTAATATAAAACCAGCTAAAATTTTCAATAAGAGTACAAATTGAATGAAAAGGAAAAATGATTAAATACTAGGAAAAATCTTTGAGTATAATTAGCAAATTCAGATCACTGACAAGGGTTTCTTAGAAACATCCTTCACCACACATACTGAATTCTATAACCCAAAAAAATATTATACTATGGTACTCTCAAGCTTGCTTAATGTAAAAAAAAAAAAAAAAAAAAATGCAGTACGGTGCACTAAGTTCTCGCTATGCCCCGGTCTAGGGAAGGGCCGGACCACAAGCATCTATTGCTTAATGTAAAACAAGAAGCCAAAAACGAAGAGTTAGTTTTTGAACAAAATCACTGCATTCCTTGAGCGTCTTTGCGCCTTTAATAAACTTTCAACCACAAACTCATCTGATGCATCACGAATCCAGGAGTTCTGGTGTCCGGATCTCCATTCAATAACCATCTCCTCAAGGTTAGCACATACCAAAAGAAGATCGCGCAGGAACAGGACTTCTTGACCAGAACGCATTCCTTCGAAGCAACAAATCCTAATCTTTTTAAGGTGAAGACCACAATCTTTAGAAAGCATAGACAGTTGACACCTTCCTCCAACAGAGTAAACATCATATACAATTGGAATAAAGCAAGCCTGCAAATGGAAATTCGATTAGAGCAAAGATCACCGGTCCATATTAAGAGCATTAACAACAACAACAAACGTAGTGTATCCCACAACAAATAGGGGGTCTTGGGAGGGTATTATGTACGCAACCTTATCCCTACCTTATGCACGCTCCAAGCAAGCATGCAATTCACAACAGTATAGAGAAAGTATAGAGGAAAAATACAATAGTGTAAAAAGTTGAGCATTAAGTGGGTTAAGAAAAATGACTTCTATTTAATATACCCATCCATATATTTTGGCATAAGGAATAGGCGGAAGGATATCTGGGTAGTAGGCAAGATAAAATAATAGGGTCAAGAGGTGGATTCAAGATTTAATCTTAGTGGGTCCAAGGGTCTGAGTTCTTTGAGATTATGAGTTCAATATCTATAATATGTTTAAGGAGTTTTTGCATAAAAATGTTTATGGTATAAGCCAAAATGGTTTGTCCGATTGAATCCATATTCAGAACTATAAGTCCGCCCCAGCCTGATTATATATTTTCAAAATGTTAACTACAACATACATACTATAAGGAGAGAGCATTTGAAATTTTGAATATATTCGTTATAATTTACCAATTGAATGGATGCATTGCACGAATAAGTGAAAAGCAAGGTATGATAGTGGCAAATGCTTCAGACGGAAAACAAACCTCAAACTCAAAGTAGGGTGGGGCCATATGTATGATTAACGTCTGAAGGTTGGAAGAACTTTGTAGTATGCGTACAATGCCAGGGAGAAACCGCTCCTGGATGGGAGTATGCAGTGTCAAACACTCATAACTGCTCATGGAAAACGGCAAACTTTTCATCGGCCAAGACGACATGACCTTCAAGACGGAAGAAAATAAATCCAATTAGCAACATATCCAACCACGAGCACCACCAACAACAACAACAACCTGGTAGAATCCCACCGGTGGGCAGCAACATATCCAACTATCCAGCAAAAATATAATAGTCTTTCTATATCTCCAAGCACAAAAACTAAACAAATAGTATATCTCTAACCTTCTGAAATACCAGAATGACCAGTTACTATAGTTTATTACCAAAGAATATAATACTACACTGTCCATTTTGCGACACTAGACACTAATAAGCAAATTAGGCAAGTATTGATCCCATTAATGAAGAATTAACTCAAATAGTACACTCAAGTATCAGAAGTCAGAAGACTAAGTACAATATTGCTTGAGACAAGATGAACCAAATAGTACACTTCCAACATAAAGGATTAATTAGGTTCTCTTTGCTAACTGGGAAAAAATTTACAAGATGGGGGCTAGGCAATAATCATAAACTCCAAAACACACAAATATACCACAACTCCTTGATGCAATATGTGCATTATACAAGCAGAAGGTTTGCAGCATATCCATATTTGAGAATCATTCAATCAAGGAACAAAACACACAGATAAGCTGAAACCAACAACAACAACAACAAATCCAATGTAATCCCACAAAGTAGGGTCTCGGGGGGGAATGTATGCAGGCCTTATCCCTACCTTACGGAGGTAGAGAGGCTGTTTCCAATAGACCCGGGCTCAAGCAACAGATAAGCTAAAACCAATCGTTTAAAAAAGACAACTTTTTATGCTCCAAGAACAAAACTTGCAAATAAACATTTAAAAAAAAAAAAAAAAAAAAGAGAAAGAATTCAAACAAAAAGCACAAACCTCAATGCACCATGTCCCTAACATAACATCCTTGACATGCCTTAAACTCCCCATCATGCCCATCAACATATTAACATAGTTGACACGCTCCTCATCCTTAGTAAACTGAAAATCAAGCTTAACAGAAACACAACTCATCACATTCTTCAACTGAAGATTATTCATTCTTCTAAAACATCCCTTTAATTCCAACACCTTAA